TCCTAATTGTTACAGTTATTCCATCTTTCAATGCAGTGGTATCATTAAAATTTCAAAATTCATTGTTTAAATTTTGAACCAGCCTGGTGTGTTGACTTCATGGCTCCTATCGTACCATTTTGAGCCATAATAGGATGCCAAGGCCTGTTTTTTTTTCCGTCTGCCCGCTCCATTATTTTTCTAGAAAAATCCGTTAACCAAGAAATTAAATTGGTGTGGCCTTAATTAACAATGCAGTTACTAGTACTGTCTGTGCATGCAGGGAGTCAACTTTACCATTCTGGGCCTTGTTTCAGAACCATGAAGGATATCAAAACATCAGCGGCAGCACTGAGAGCACTTGTGGAGCTAGGATATCCTCTGGAACTATCAAGGGTGGTTGACTACTTGAAAAACTTGGAGAGTAAGGATGAACTCCTACAGTTTGACAACGAAGAAGGTCTGTGTAATTTCTTGCAAAAATATCCAACGATGTTCTGGGTTGAGGGGGGGAAAGTGTTTCCTGCGCAGATGAAACCTAAAGGGAGGCCCTCACCTCAAACACAGCAAAGCCAACCTAAAGCTCAGGGAGTATCGAACAGCACTGACAAAGCTACGCAACTGGAACAGAAAGTGAATAAAGTTGAGACACTAGAGGGAGATGAGAAGAAGAACAGAAACCTTGATTCTGCAGACATTGCCAAGTTGCGAGAAGATAGCATCAAAGCTATAGCAGCAGTATTGAAGAGGGAGGGACCAACGAGACTCAAAGCTCTGCTGAAATATGCGCATGAATTACCACCAGAGGTTAGACTATTTGTCGGGAAAGAGGAGGAAAGCATCATTTCATTTATTCTAGAACAACCTGACGTCTTTTTCATTGACGATAATGATGTTGTGTTTCATGTTAGCACAGTGCACAAGGAGGCTGCGCAGGAATTTAAGTTGGTCTTGCAATCAAGAGGAAAGTTACATGTTGACAGGCTTACAGGTCACATAAGCAGTTCCAAGCACAGGCATGCCATTCTTTGGTTTATAGGTGGCAGATCTGATGTTGAGAAATTCCTGAAGGGGTATCCAAATGTATTCAGAGTAGATGACAGTGGAACTGTGAGTTTGATCAATGCAAAATCAAAACAACCTACACTTGCCAGTGCATGTTCAGGAGAAAAAGCTACAACCACTGACACCACTACAAAGGTGGCAGTGGATTCGCTAAGCAATAAGACATCAGAACAGCTCAAGACGAGCAAGGAGAACAAATTGCTAGAAGAAGGAGTAAAACATTTCAGGGATGTCTTACAAGTGAAAGGAAGTATGCCGATCGAAAGGCTCTTTGGACACGTGAACCAGTGCAGGGATGAAGTTAAACGCGCAATAGGTACCAAAGAGAATGAGGTGGAAACATTCTTGCACAAGTATCCAGAGGTATTCAGTATTAGTAGAAAGCGCAATGTCTATCTAGTAAGTTCCAATGCAAAGCAACAACAAGTAAATCCAGGCAAAGACAAGCTGTTGGCCAATCCAAAGACAAAACAATGCAAGGAATCTGTGGCGATTAAAGAAGAAGGTGTCAAGCACTTCAAAAAGGTACTGGAGTCAAAGGGCAGTCTACACATCAAAAGCCTCTGTGGGCACAGTGGCCAGTACAAGTATGTAGATCCTATGCTTAAGATTATTGGTGGAGGCCCATCATCAGTTATGGATTTTCTGAAGGGCTTTCCTAATATGTTCAGTATAGGTGATGACGGAATGGTGCATCTCACATCTCAGTCACAGGCAAACAAGCCAGGAACAGAAAACAGAAGTTATGCAATGGTAGTAGAGACTGGCCAGAAAGTACAAGCAAAAGCAGCAGACAGTAGTCACCTGCAAGACAACATAAAGGGTAAAAGTGCATCATCAACTGCAGTAGTTGGTACTCATGACAAGACAGCAGGAAAAGCTAAGAAGGAGAGTATTCTACTTGAAGGAGTCCAGCATTTCAAGCAGGTCTTGGAGTCGAAAGGGAGCATGCCTCTTAAGAACATATTTGGACACGTCAACCAGTGTAGGAATCAAGTGAAGTGGGCTATTGGTAGCTCGGTGGACAACGTGAAAAAGTTTCTTCTAAAGTATCCAGAAGTCTTTTACGTTGACAAGAAGATGGTCGTACATCTTGCATGTAACAGAGCAAAGGAACAACAGCAAGAACAAAACAAGCCAAACAATAAGCAGCTTCAGATTGAAGAAAAGGCTTTGGCACACTTTACAGAGATGCTATCCAGGAAAGGCCCATCAACCACTCATGTGCTCAGCAGTTGTTTCAGCTCTTGTGGTGAAGACATCAGGAGGCATGTTGGAAACAGTAAGGAAGGACTGATAAAGTTCTTCAGGAAACATCCACAGATATTCAAAGTGGATGCCGATGAAATTGTTTACCTCAAGAGCACCGGTTCAATGCACATTCAAAGTATGGTCTTTAAGCCTCAAAGGTGGGCAAGTTGTGATACACTAACTGTGCCATGTGACACTGTGTTTCCAAAGGTTCTCAGTAAGTTGAGCGGCAGTACACCAGATGTCAGGAGTGCTGTAGGTGGAGGAACACTTCAGCAAGAAGAAGAGGTTAAAGACAAACTCAGCCAACAGGATCGTAAAGACAAGTATGAAACAGGTGATGGTACATCTACATGTACATCTATGCCATGTCCGCAAACACAACATACCCCAAATCAGAAGGCTGATTCTTCCAACAACTTTCCAGACAAGTTCATCTCTGCAGTGAAGGACATATTATCTAAGAAGGGAAGTTTGCATGTTGTTCAGCTTGTTGATAAGTTAGGCACCATGCTTCCACATGAAAGGTTTGAGTTGAGTGGAGTGAGGCTTCTTCTGAAGAAATGCCCAGAAGATTTTCATGTGAACGACCAAGATATAGTTGAGGAAGTCCCACCTATGAATGTCTTTGCAGTGGTAAATAAGATGCTTGGTAACAACAGTTGTTTTGCAACATTGGAAGATACTAGTATTGTGTATGTCCACATTGCTCTGTACAGAGAGAGGATGGGGGTTGACTGCACCAGGCTACAGGATCATCTATCTACTGGAGATATTCTACTGGTAGACACAGAACATGGCACACCTGGGAGTAGCTCGAAGTGGACAGCAACCAACATAAGAGCAGTATTCAAGTCTCCTAAAAGTGTTGATGCTGACAAAAATGGAGTGAACTTCCAAACACCCATGCCTTTCCTGCCTGCAACAACAATTGTAAGGTCTCCATCTGAGATCTGTGGTGCTATTGTAAAACTTGTGGCTTCTTCAACACTTCATGTCAAAGATCTCAGCTCTAGGATGAAGTACCTAAACCATGATGCAGTTCTGTATCTCAGGGAAAAGGGAGGACTTCTGTCCTTCTTGCAGAGCCAACCACAACTGTTTCTGGTACAGGACAAGTGTGTTACTTTGGTGGCAGGGGAAGGAGAGCTTGATGAGGGCACCAGTCAGTGCTTAGCATCTCCAGGAGCAAGATGCACTATTGGAGAAGTCAGTGTGATCTCCAAGAACATTGCACATCTTCACCTTCCTGATGATAAAGAAGCTATACTTGACCTTACAGATTCCATTACCACATCTCATCTCAGTGTTGGAGACTGTTTGGTAGCCTATATTAATATTGTGCCTTCTAACCAAAGTGAAATCCCCTGGGAGGTGTCAGAAGTCAAATGTGTCATGGGGATAGCTGTGCCTGCCCAGGTTCATGCCAAAACTGCAACAGCCACATGTGGTAGTCACCTTCTCAAATATGTACTTCAGCAATGTGTTCTTGAGGAAGAGGTGGACACAGTACTTGCCTGGCACCGACTACTAAGTCAGACGACTCAAGTCACATTTGAAGAAGTTGAAGAATGTTTGAAGGGCCTATCCCAGAAATCAAAGATGCACACCTTGCAGCAAGGAGTTCCTTGTGAGTTCTTTGAGAAGTACCCTACACTTTTCCATGTTGACAGATTCAGGAAGACAGTGAGTCTTGTTGAATGTAGTCCAATGAGCAAGACACTGTTTGTTGGCGATGTGAAACATGTGAAAACTCTTCCAGCTCAGGTTGAAGGAAATACACAGACAGTCACAGAAAAACCTCCAGTGCTGGGGAACAGTGTGGCTAGTGCTGCTGACACAGACAAAGATGCTGTGGAGTTCTTTAAAAGCATGGTATTGGCAAAAGGTCAGGTTTCTGTCCAAGTTCTCAGTACCTGCTTTGATGCCTGCCCAACGGCCATCAGACAACATGTAGGGAGTAGCATGAAAGGCTTGGCAAAATTCTTACGGGACCATCCTGACACATTCAGCCTAGATAAGAATGACATGGTGTGTGCTTTGAAAGATACCTTCAAGACCGTAAAACAAGGAAGGGAAATGGATCAAATTGCCCAGAAGGCAGTTGCATACTTCAAGGCAATACTGTCAAAGAAGGGTCCCTTGACTATCCATGTGCTGAGTAGTGGCTTTGGCCCTTGCCCTAAAAACATCAGGATGCATGTTGGCAGTAGTAAATTTGGGCTGACAAATTTCTTCTTTTACCATCCAGAGATATTTACAGTAGATAAAGACCAAGTTGTGAGTCTGACTGACAAAACATCAGCTGCAGTGGACCATTCCTTGCCACCCAGCAAAGATGGTGGTGACAAGCTAGACTCCAATAGCTTGTCTGTTGGTACGTTGGTAGATGCACAGGGACAACATCAGCACTCGGCACCCACACCACTAGCTGTGGAAGAGGACACAGATGGTGTCAATAACCAGAAGCAAACTTCAGATTATGCAGAAGGTGTGAGGGATCAGTCCAGCCTTGGTCCAGCCCTATTGCTGGAAGTAGGTGAACTTTCTTCCAATGTACAAGAAGACAGGAACATCTCAACAGTACAAGATGCCTCAAGAAGCAGTTGCCCTCAATCCCCAAATCCTCCAGTGTTGTATAGCTCAGAAGAGCAACACTTAGAGGATCAAGCAGACCAAGAACCACAGCAAAAGGATCAAGCTGAGATAGAGAAGGAAACATTGGAGCTTATTGTTAACCTGGTGCAGAAATCTGGACAGGTGTCCTTGACGTCACTTCAAGGTCATATCAACCTGCTCGGTGAGGAGAAACAAGATTGCATTAAGGACAAAGGAGGGCTTTTAACTTTCCTTCAGCATCACTATGGCACAATATTCAATATAGATCCTACATCTGAAAGTGTCAGTCTCAGGCAGAAACAAGATGTGCAAAGAACAGAACCAGATTTCTTAACCAGCAGTAGTGCAGAAGGAGAACAACTGCAACCAAAACAGCTAACAGTTGAGGAAGAAGTGGAGAATGTCAGGTCTTCACTGGAAAAGACGTCAATTCGTGTTGACATTTCTGATGCAGAAGACAGCAAGAAGAATGTACCCATGAAAGAAGCTGAAGATGACAGTAGGACTTCATTTTTGAAACCCATGCATCCCACATGTACAGAAGAGTGTGATGAAGTGGACACAGTTGTAACACCCTCTGTATCGTTTACGCATGAGACAGATGCTGTATCTCTTCCTATACCCACTGTCCAGACTCCAAACCCACAACTTGAACAATACTTGAATCAAGAAGAAGCAGTCTGTGACAGTTTGGGTCTCCCAACTGCAACCGTTCACCCAGTTGTACCCGTGGACAACCCTCCTGGACAACCTGATGATGACTTCACATCCCTGCTGCACATGTTCAAGGACAACCTCAGTCCTATCCAGGACAACCTGGTGGAAGTGGAGATGGACATTGGGAGGATTCCAATCGCCAGGTTAGATATTACTTTTTATGACTTGATTGAATACCTTCATAGAAGGAATACAATGTCATACTGTTTTCTTCCTCTTCTTCAAACAAATAAAGTCAATGAGCTGGACCAGACGTCTGTCACCATGGTAACTGGTACTGTAGCAGACACCCTGTGGTGTTGAGTTACATTTTGTAGGATACGTGCAGAGTTGTTACTATAAAATAGATGTTTGAGTAAGGAAAAACAGCTATAGCTTGTTGGGTTAGACCATGTGAAGGTCTGTAAAAACATTGTGCATTTGCTTTGCAAATATTACCTCTCTATAGTTAGGCTATGTTTTTTTAAAAATGCTAGCAGATTTTTCCACAATTTCCACTGAATGGTTATATAGCTGAACTGTTTCCCTCAGGTACTACAATCCAGCAAGTCCAAACCTCCTGGCTCCCCTCAGACTGAGTGAAGAGACACTGACCAGAGAAACTTTAGAAACCATCCTGTCTGCCCTGCCGCTGGACAGGTCTGCCACTGGACAGGGTAGAGTTCTACTCAGGGGTTCTCTACACTGGGTCAGGTAACTTATTTTCGGACACTTGTTCACTACTAGTAACTTTTCATACACTTTTATTTTCTAAGTACCCTTACTTTGTAAATTTGATATCAAGTGAGGATAGACATAAATTAAGCAATATGACAACATCTAGTTAACAGTTGCCAAACACAGAAATTTTTCAATATATTTAATATGTCATGCTCCCACTCAATATCTACATACTTAGGCCAGTATATATTATGTAGCACTTTACAAAAGAGAGAAATTCAATGCACATGTATTGTAACAGACAGAAATGTTGAATGTAGTAAGATCATGTCATGAGCATATGTCATAGTTTCTTAGAATGTATATTTAATATCATTGTACTGATTGTTTTGTCATTGTTGCCTTGTACCATGCACAGTTGTTATGCAATTAGGTTCATTCATAATTATCCAATAATTGTACACAGAAATGTATATAGAAAAGTTCAGATGTTGGGCACAGTATATCAATATATATTTGCGGTACTTTTATATTTCTAAATTTCTAAATTTGTTCCATTTATATTTATCATTACCGCAAACAAACAATTTGACTTTCTTTCTTCCGCACCTGCTGTCACCATGAACGTACATGTATAGTTCTGTGAACATGTCCATTTTTCTCAGACTTTTTCTACAGAAATTTTTCTACTATGAATATAAATATAGAATACTAAGTATAACACGGTGTATTCCGTATCGACCGAGGTACCAGCCCGACCGCGCGTCGGATCTCCCGAAGGCCGGAGGGAGATCCGATCCGCGGGAGGGCTGGGACCGAGGAACGTAATCGAACATAATCGCGGCCCGTAAACCCGTATCGAAGGTAATCGCGGCCCAGGTAGGAAATAGTGGTTTACAGTAGGGGTGATTTAGTGTGCTTGCCCAATGTTGCGACCTTATACATGTAGTCCCATGCCTTCTCTCCCTTGTGCAGCACACTGAAGAACAGTTCAGACGACGTAGTTGGGCTAACCCTGAGGAGAGGCCAGGCAGTGCCTGGTTGTCTGGACCTGTTGTGGGACATGGTGACTTCAGGCACCTCCACACTCATCATCGGACGGCCCTGCAGCGGGAAGACCACTCTCCTGAGGGAGTGGGCCCGAGTACTGAGCGATGTCTGCTACAGGAGGGTCATTGTGGTAGACACACTGAATGAGGTACATGTATGCACACGTGCGCATTGGACAGTTGTGGAAAATGTGTACACGTATCAGGGCTCTAGCCAGCACCCGTTTTTCTGTCAATTGCAGGAACTTTGCGGTGTGGGATGACCAATCAGTCAACTTTAAAGGAGTACTAACCTCCAGAGGGAGGTGCTATATTTCGACAGGCATTTATTTTTGGAAGTGAAAAATGCATATCATCTTACCGTACTATTAAATGCCCATTTTGTCTTAAAACGCATCGAATCCAGGACAAACTCTCCAAATACCCTCAAAACTATCCCAGAATACATCACGCTACCCCATTGGTGTCTATGTTTTAAACAAAAAGTTACGTTACAGACCTCATTTCGGGGGCTTCTTGCTGTCCTTATCACCCCTCATTTATGCCGCAAATATTGACGATGAAAAAAATGGCGTAATCTAGTTATCCTTTCCATAAGTGGCGTAATCTAATTATCTGTTCAAGTAATACTTACATGCAAATAAGTTGAGAAAATCAAAACACGCAGGATGAAACTAGTGCCCACTGCATTAGACATCCTGATATTATAGTATCCAAACCGCAGGTCAAGCAAAGTAAAGCAAGTAATTTCTCAATAATCAGCTTGTTAGTGTGCTTGTCTCCTACCATTTTTGTCCAAAAATGTTTATGTTGACCTGAAGTGTATGAGTATTGCGTAAGCCAGAGTTCCCGGATGTATCAAGTGTGGTTCAGCATGGGGGAAAATGATATTAATAACACTTATACAAACATGCGCCGCGCAACTCGTACAAGCGAAATTATTTTAAAAGTCGGCTAGTTATGTATTCATTGCAGCATGATGTATCGGAAAATAGCACTTCCTTCTGGAGGTTAGTACTCCTTTAAAGGACAAAATTCTTGGTAAAAAAATAAAAACATCCAAAGGACCAGCAAAAACCACTCTCAACCCCATTATTTGCCTCTCAAGATATATTGCACTAACTTTTTTGGATGATTGAAAATCCAAAATTTGCCCCCTGGAGCCCCCTACATAAATGTTACAAGCACTCTCCCCCCAGATCCAATCATGAACCTAGGCTGACAGATGATTTACAATGATTAGAGAAAGCGTACAATCTATTGTTTCAACTATCATATCGAATTTGGCACTTGTTGTCCCATCAAGAAATGGATTTAGGTATATGATCATGAAATAATGAATCAAGTGTGAAACTTTAACAGAACACTAAAACTGATACTGTGGTTGTCTGGATAGGACATACATGTAATGTAATTTTGCTACCACTTACCATACCTAGTAACAGACAATAGACAATAATTTTTTTGTACTTCATGATTGCATCCTGTGTATTTCCTAATGTTCAGATTGCAGGTGGAGACGATGTCCCACATCCAGGTGTGGGAGGTGCCAGGAGGGTTCAGGTAAGGTCAACTGTCATGTCAGGTGTTGTGGTGTGAACTGTGTGATGGTTGTGGCCAAACCCTCTCCTGTATTTCTGGATTTTTTTCCTATTCTTTAGAAAATGCATGTGAGTTAACCTTCTCCCTGTTGCCTAACCAAGTATCCAGTAGTCAAGGCTACCTTTAATAGCAAGCTGAATCTGTGTTCATAGGTATCATTAGGAACATGTAATGTCTCATACACCTGCACGAAAAGGATTGTCTAAAACTGTCATGTTTTTATTGGCTTGTGTTCATGTTTATTGATTGTGTTTATCCTTCAGGCCACATGTTTTTCACACAGATGTGCCAGTAGAACAATAGTTTGAAAAACATCATCCTTTTTCTATATGGGGTAGCTGACTATTGAGCTAAGATTTACAAGTTTAAGTTCTTATTCAGAATGATTTCTTCTTTAGGCAACACATCTTGCATGGCATCATTGCTAAAGTTATTCATGATTCCAGGTGCATAACAGGTGCCAGCAGGTGTCCCAGCTGCAGACAGCTGCGAGGAACCACTCCCCTGACTGCATCATTGTTGATGAGGTACAGACCCTGGAGGAGGTTACAGCACTACAGGCCATCAGACTTACAGGTGCATGTTTAGTATAGGGAATGCTTTATACAGGGGATTCCACTTATTTGTATATCTTTTAATTGTATATTTTGGGTAATTGTATAGAATTCTAAAACACCAAACCATTTACCATTCACACCATTGTAAAAACAATGCATAATTGTATAGCGCATTATCGTATATTCCGGCGTATCGTATAGAATTCGGTCCGACTAGATCGTATAATGACACAGATCTACACATTAAATGTTAGCAAGGATGGTGTGAATGGACAGTTAAGTGCCTGTATAAAGACACTGTACCACCAAAAAAATTAAAAAATGAGTGTTTAGGGCCACAAAGAATGACGTTTTCTTATAAACCGGCAGACGCGCGAGCGGCCCCGGTGGTAGTCGGCATACGAGATCGTGAGTGCGTTGTTTGTCTTAGTGTAATTATGCTCGTTGCTATACCCCCCTCCCCTTCGGCCCGCTTTTAGTGCTAATCCGGCCTATCGTATAGGCCAAATAACTGTATAAAATGCTCTGACAAATGGGCTATACAAATATGCGTAATCCTTTGTAGTATCATCATTTGTCTTTAGCTTGCATGTTTGACAGATATCATTATAAGGAAACTCCCAAAATCTCCCAGCAGAAAATCTGTTCTTTGCTGAAGTATTCTTAAATACTGACACAAGACATCAGATCACTTTACTTTTGACATTCTTTTTTTAAAGCAAATTCAAGTTTGATGCTTCCAAATTTTGATATGTGAAACATTGTACAATGTATTGTGTTAGATTTGAACTCCTTTCTATACAATGCTTTAATTTACATAGAATAATGAATGAATGACGACCTTTATTGCACATTTTGCTACGTACAGGTCAAAACAAAACTTGCTGAAAATATATATACAAAATAAAACTAGCTATCATCACATAAATTCAACTTCTCCTCGCTTTTCAGTTATAGTAGAGATAAAGGGACAGATATGTTTTTCGATGGAAGGTTTGTCAAGTCGCATTAGGAATATGAACATTTCTACAGTGCTCAAGTGTATGAAGTAAGGAAATAGGTAATATGTTATGGACTGTTAAGCTTATCTGTATCTGTATCGGTATAGCCGTATAACCGCCCTTTGGCGTAACACACCAGCTTCGCAGGCACGCGGCGCGGCGGCAGCTAGCTATATCACACCGAACGACTTGTTACACTCAATCTTTGCACATTTGACTGTAGTCATATTACATATTATTGCAATGTCAGCAGGGCAAGCCCTTTGTAATGTAACAGCCACAGGCTAGTTTGGCTGCCCTGGCTGTGTGTGTGTTGAACAGCCAAACTGATGGATCTCCTTATTTCAGGTATACAGGTGATAGCCGGGGTGTGTGCAGGCAGCCTTCCTGACCTCCTGCACAACAGTGTCATGAGAGGACTACTGGGGATGTCAGATCCACCTTCCTCCACCTCAGCATCACGTGGAGTTATTCCCCAGCCTCCAACATTCCCACAGGCCCTTCCAGTGTTTCAGGCCGCAGTGCAGATCCACAATAGAGACAACTTGTCGGTTTACTCGGACGTTGCTTCTTTTGTGAGGATGTCGCTGTTAGAAGGAAGGTTTCCTCTTGCACAGCACAGGAAGAGGGTTGTCACAAATGGCAGGCAGACAGAGCTGTAGCTAGGGGGCAAAAAGTGTCCTACAACAATGCTGCATGGCGCATGTTGTAAGACAAACTTTTTGACCGTGTAAACTTTCGAACCTTTTTGTGCAATCAACTTTGTGGTCATCATTCACGACTAAATTGTGCTGATTTTACAGTACATGTACATTCATAAAAGAACAATTCATTTAAAAGATCATCAGCATTGAAAACAATAAAACATGATACAGGAATATTAAAATCTGCTCACAGCAACAACAACAACGTAAACACAGAGTTTTGCGGGCATTACATCATCGACAGAGTTCTAGGGATAAATGAGTTGTTGTGTCTGTTAGACTTGCTAACAGGTGGTTTCAGTCCCACATGGTGGCAAAGGTTGTAGGGTGTTTCCACTACCGGGGGCAGGAACTGTCTGCAGGGATGTGTGGGGTCCTTCATGATCTGCTGCAGCTCACGTAGAGAGGCATCATGACGTCTGGACTGCAGCGTGGGGAGCTGGTGATGTTCAATGCCAATGATTTTGCAGCAGAGTTTTTTTAACCTTTTCTAGCTCGTTTGATAGCACAGCACAGCACAACACAGTACTTTTCGTATGGCACGTCCAAGTTGTAGTGTTTGCTGGTAATGTCAGCTCTGATTATGGGCCTTATTAAAGATTCTCACAAATTTTTTATTAAAAATTGAACCAGAGTAATGATACTACACAGGTACATGAACATTGTATAGCACAAAGGACAGAGTTGTAGTAGTACTTATAATGTTAACTCTGACTATGGGTCTTGTTAGAAATTTAGAAATTACAACAATTTTTTATTCAATATTGGACCAAAGTAATACTACACGGGTACAACTTATTGAACATGTATAGCACAAAGGACAGGGAAACAATTGTAGTATTACTGGTAGGGTCAGCTCTGACCATGGGCCTTGTTAGAGATTCCTAAAAATTTTTTATTCCAGATTGGACCAAATAAAGTAATGATACTACACGGGTACAATTTATTGAACATGGTATAGCACAAAGGACAAGTAGACAGAACTGTAATGTCTGCTCACAATCACAAGAAATCTTTTACCCAAGATTGGACCAGCGTAATGAAACTGGTACTACAGACACATGAACATTATTGTACATGTATGGCACAAAGACAAGAAGACAGAGCTGTTACAGTATTATTACTGGTAGTGTCATCTCTGATTGTGGGCCATGTAAGAAATTCCAACAAATTTTGTAACCAAGATTGGACCATGTATATATACATCTACATGGGCGCATTATAGCATCTTATGCAATTAGTTAAAACAGTACATCATAGACTGATATCATAATATGTGCACATAGTTATTTTGTCTCAATACATAGTTCCTGTGGCAACAGAGAGTTGGATTGTGCATGAGGTGAATCATTCACATTCCGTAATCCGTAGTATACACAACTTTTGTGTCTGCTTGGCCCAGAAGTTACTTCTACATTATATATATTCTGTACATACTGTTTAGACAGTCTAAAGTGCCTTGTAAACATTGCAATATAATATGATTATTATATTGCAATGTCAGAGGTGAAAATTTATGGTGCTTCTTTACAGATCTATTGTGTAGTCTATTTTGTCTTGAATGCTGTTGTCCCTATCTGTAATGTTAAAAGAGATGTGTCTATGAAGGCCTGTAAATTTATGATTATACATTGTATATGAAAAAAGTATTATTATTATTAATACAATAGTAGAAATGTTCTTTGATTGTTTTTGGTTTTAGAAATAACGCAAACATTGATTGGTGAATTTGCATTGCCATAGTAGTTTACAGACACACTCAGTCACACACACACGCACGCACGCACACACACACACACACACACACGACGGCCACCAAAAACATAACCTTCTTGAATTATGCTAATCAGATCCACATTTGCAAAAATCAAATTGCCCTCTCCATATTTGCTTAAATTAGTGCTCATCATATTCCCCATCAAATGACAGTCTTATCTTAACAAACACCAAACAACAACTAGAGTTTCATGATCTCATACCTTTGCCAAATGATTATTCCCCCTGATTATGCAAATAGGATCCTCATTTTCATGACTTAAAACAGTTGATCATATTCCCCACCAAAAGACAGTATTTCCTTAACAAAGAATGACATTCTAGCATTACCTCCATATTTAAATATATAAGTAATGATGTTGACCTTCACTTAACTTTCAAATACCCCAATTATTGAATTCCTTCACTCAACCTCCAAATGCCACAAAGCCATCTCAACTTACCGTGATCACAATCTGACAAACGGCAAACACACATACAAAACACACACAAACGCCAACAAAAATTACCCTTTTGCTGAACACAAGTTTAACCAAGCAACAACAAAACAACAACAACAAAACCGTGCCTGACGAAGGCATGTGTTCCACGAACTCTAGGTACACATTTTTCATACTCGTAACAATGTCCTGCCATTGCTACCAACTCTGTTTGAAAAACAAGAACAGGTTTTGTCTCTCAGTGGCCAAAGGCTTTCTTTCACATACAAGGTGTTACTAGTACTAACATTTTGTTCAGAAAGTAGTTCATTTGGGTGAACATAAACTTTGAAAATGTACAGTATACTAGTACATGTACCTTCATTTCACCTGGGCGTGCCAGTTAATCCTCGACTGTCCCTGGTGCTGAACACCATCCACACACAGTCAAACATGCCTGTCCTTGGTGCTGAACACCATCCACACACAGTCAAACATGCCTGTCCTTGGTGCTGAACGCCATCCACACACAGTCAAACATGCCTGTCCTTGGTGCTGAACACCATCCACACACAGTCAAACATGCCTGTCCTTGGTGCTGAACACCATCCACACATTGGCCCATATATGCATGTAGCTAGTGCAACTCTGAATGGAGGAATGGTCTGCCTTTGGCTGGGTTGAGCAAAAACCTTATTTCTTACATGATCTGTCACAAAATCCGGTTATGACATACAGTAACATCAAGGACAAAGGCAAGGTTTATGAATGTATTCCTTTATTCTGATTATCATGATATTGTTGTCAAATTATGAGCATGTTGGACCTGCGTGACACCACTGGTGAATGAATGAATGAATGAATGAATGAATGAAAGAAAGTATTTTATTTAACCTCAAAGAATGAGATTTTATTTTGTATTGTACCGATTTCACGAGGCTCTCCAAAGATGGAGGAAATAAAGAGATGAAATGAAAAAATGAATTTTTATTTATGTGTCTTGCGACTTTTGTCGCCCAGCCCATATGGGCTTATAAGACACATAAACATGAACATAAACATAGGTACAGAAATCATATAAACATAAAATCCAAGTCCAAAGGTCAGACTGGAAACATCAAATGGAATTAAAAAACTTAATACAAAGTTGAACTGGTAGTGTCAGCTCGTTCCCATGGAAGGATGCCTAGGCAGGACCATATACGGAATAACCACCACTGAAGACGTGCTTCTCTTTCCCAACCAGCGCGGGGAAGAAGGTACAGATCGTCGAAGCCTCCCCCTCCGGCATGGCGTAGTGCGGGTCGTTCTGGTTCAACAGGAAGGCCGTCCCCTCGGGATGGAACGCCGCTTCCTCCTCCCCCTCCTCCCAGACGTACTTGCCGTTTCCTACACAACAAGTTTTGAGAATAGCAGTTCAGAATTTCTTGTTTTATCCATATTCTCTAAACTCACTCTCTAATCAGAGGTTTGGCTTCGGCTTATTTTTTATGTGTTTTAGGAGTTTCTATTGGGCTTTTTTTTTACCTTCGCCAAGAAGGTTATGTTTTTGTAGGCGTTCGTGTGTGTGTGTGTGCATGTGTATGTGTGCATGTGTGTGTGTGCATGTGTGTGTGTGCATGTGTGTGTGTGCATGTGTGTGTTTGTGCATGTGTGCGTGTGTTTGTGCATGTGTGTGTGTGTGTGTGTGTGTGTGTGTGTGTGTGTGTGTGTGTGTGTTTGTGCATGTGTGCGTGTGTGTGTTTGTGCATGTGTGCGTGTGTGTGTGTGTGCATGTGTGTGTGTGTGTGTGCATGTGTGTGTGTGTGTGTGTGTGTGTGTGTGTGTGTGTGTGTGTGTGTGTGTGTGTGTGTGTGTGTGTGTGTGTGTGTGTGTGTGTGTGTGTGTGTGTGTGTGTGTGTGTGTGGGTGTGAACACGGTAACTCAAGAAGGCTAAGATGGACTGTCCGTAGGTGGGTAGGCCTATTGATGAGACCTCGAAATGATTAGATTTTGGCCCCCCTGGTAGCTTGTTCTGGTACTGCAACTGAATTCGTTTTACGGGTAGCGTATTGGATAATGCCTGGCAAATCTTGCCAATCTGATACTATATTCATAATATTGCAGCCACTAAAAGATCATCTGCTTTGAGATTGCTCGCTACCGCGAGAACTTCCAATGACATACTAGTGTATTTGTGATGAATGTTTACCTCTGAAGTAGTAGTTGGATTCTTTGTGATGTTTGTACCACATGGGGACCCCCTTCTCTGTATCAGCGCAGGTCATGATTGACGTGTTGGTCACCGTGATGGGGAAATCATCATCCCTAAGCAGGAACCTTCGGCTGTGGCCGCTGCCGAAGTCGACATCCCGATCTGTTCCGATGATCTCCGAGAGGGACCGAACAACGACTCGGTCAGACGAAGGGTTGTCGTCGTGGCAGTACACACAGTAAAGCCTCATATGGTCTTCCGGGGTCACTGTAATCTTCAAAACCAGAGATAAATAACAGTTTGTGGGATTTACTTAATTTTCAGAACTTTTTCGGCTACTTGACGGAAAATTAAGACATAACCTTGTTTTAACTAGTAACGAAACAGTTGCCGTTGATAGTTCTAGTTTTGATTGTAGATGTTGGCATTTGCTGCATTTCTTCGTTATTTCAGTGAGGCTACACTGACTTGAATTTCAGCGATGACATATCCACGTTCGCGCCGATTTCAAAAAAGAAATTGTTTAGTTCTCGAAACTACAGGCAAAATTTGCTACAATACTGAGATGGCATCCAGCCTGGATTTAAAAAATGGGGTAAAATATTTGTCAACAGACAAATAGGTGGAATATTTTGGACAGGGGTGGGTTGGATTGGGTAGGGCAAATTGAACAGTCAACACGGTTTCACTTAGACTAAACACAGTTTAACCTTGTTTAAATTTTGGACGCATGTGTGTGTGTGTGTGTGTGTTACTGAATGATCACCTTGCACTGAACAGCAGACGAGAACGAAAGGAAAACGTCCTGGGCGACGTCAAACTCCCTCCCGTCCCCCAGACTGCAGCGCCCCCTGCCGGAGATGCAGTAGTACATGTGGTTCTCGGTCCAGCCTTCCCCACCTGAGCGCAGCTCGCTCTGGTCCCGAGTGAGCACGATCTCGTACGCCGTGATCCCCATCTCGTCCGGCGGGGACACCAACTCTTTCCCCCGAAGGACCGGGATGAGTGATACGGGGGCTAACGGAACGTCGACGGTATTACGGACGATCATAGCGATGCAGGGCGGCAGGATTGTTACTGTTCTGACAATGACCCACCTGTTATCTTATCTTACCCACCTGTTCTATAGGTCAATCTTTCTTTGTTTTGTCTTGGTGAGTACTAGTAGAAACCAGTTAAAACCGGCTTTTCAAGGGGACATGACCTTTATAGCACTACATCCCAGGAAGCAAAAACAAAAAGTAATCGGAAATAGTAGAAGGTATGACCAGGTTTGAAAATTTTTATTCATTTTTTTCATCCTATGCAGCAACAAAGAACTAGAATAACAACTAGATAACCGTCTGTGCATTTTACCCAGATAGTCACGGAATAGGTTGGTAACGTATGTTTTGCTCTAGTTCCAGCTTGATCCAGTTTTAACTGAACAAAGTCCACCTTGTGATGCTTCATCGATAACTGCCCGAACAAAAGCCAAACGCGTGTCAAACTTGACAGACTGAGCCAAACCAGTCTTACGTGATTGGGGGTGTTGGGGTGTTCAGGCAGGTTGTGCCTTCGGGGGCTCTAATAGCTTCCCCCGCCCAGTGCAACAGGCCGTCCCGGTAGGAGCTAATAAGAGACAGTATGCTTGGGGATTTCGCCCCCCCCC